CAATTGGTATAGAAAAACATTTCGTCTGACAACATCTAATCCTTCACGGTAGTGTTACCGAAACTTTATGAGTTCATCATTACCATGAGCCAGACATCGCTTCAAGTCTCTCGATCTGGCAAACAGTCGTTACGTACGTCCACAATCTCTGAGATCTGCGCGCAGCATGTCACTTGCACGATATACCCTCCTATCGCGCTTTCTGATTCAAATTTTTATAAAAAAAACTGTCTTCCCTACCGAATTACTTGGTCTCCGACTTCGGCTAGCTGACAGCTTGAACATTTCTCGGAAGGCGTTGAAATCTGTCATAGGATGATTCTCGTAATATACCGGATTTTCTTTGCTCGGCGACTGTCTGACTCACGCGTGGCACCTATAGAAGTACGTGTAAGCACCTATACTTGCTAACTGATCTAAGGACAACATCAAGCCTCTTATGCTCACCCAAGGGAAGCGATTTAAGGACATCACAGTAAATTTCCACCTCATCACCCTCTTGTCACGAACGAATCTCGACTGGTATCTGCATCACCCTGGTAGGAATTCCACGCAATAAGGATGCAGCCTCATCTTTTTCTCTTGACCTTGTACTCCGGTAACTAGTCTTACCCGAAGGTCGCTACAAGCACGTCTATTGCTTAATGCGTAACATCGTGATGCCTAACGTCAGGTAGACGCATCCGGCCATTCATTGAGGATGTTATAAATCACGCAGTCAGTAGGTTTCGCGAATGGATCAATATATGGATGAAGCAATAACATGTGAATGAGACGTTAAGGAGGAAAGAAACATGCCGCATTAATGGATCCAAGTCGGTATACAAACAGAAATCACGTATCATTTCACCTTTCTCATTGGCTATGAACTTACATTATCCGAACCAAGGAAAAACATGAATGTATATCAGATGGTACTCAAAATCAGCGGGGAGCTGCGGTGTTGATATAGAACATGTCTGTATGGGGTTTAATCACACTCTCTGCGGAGGGACAGCGTAGTTAGGAGAAGACGTAACGAATGCTTAAGGAGCAATTGCTTAATGGGTATTATTGTCAGTTCGAATCGGATAGCAGCTGAGGTACCTAAGGAACTGTCCGTGTCGTCGGGAACGTCCATCAAAGGTGTATTAACAAAACCACCAATGCAAAAGTCAGAAATAAACGCACAGAATGAAGAGAATGAGTTATTTCTGTGGACCCTCAGATTCTGCTGCGGCAGGCAGTGAAAGATGATTGCTAGGAGCCTGCGGAACCACGGGAAGGAGGTTCTTTTTTTAACAAAAGTGACCGGCAAACGCCGAAGCAAGTATCGATTCAGTGACTGCGGCAGTTGAACAGCCCATTCGAAGCAATAATTGTCCACATCTAGACATAGTCTATGTATATACTCGCAGCCGCACTTGAGAGTCGTAACCTCATTCTCTTGCTAGCGTGGTTAGACAGACGTGGGTAACATTCAAACCAGCACACTCAGCCAGCCGTGAAAGCGTAACGCCAGGTGATTCTGTGTTTGGTATTGCCGGGCCAGGAGCATGAGTTCAGGTCTCATCGAATAAAAACCATTCAAATCTCGTTGGTGCCTTTGCGTCTACAAGCGCGTTACTGTTTTATCTCCTGGCTCCTCATAGTCTTTTCTTCCCAGATATACTACAACTGAAACTGGATCAAAGCGAGAATTGAACATTCGACTTCTCCGATACAAAAAGGCAGTGTGAACGTGAACACTCTAAACGAACGCAAGCCGCGACCGCTAGACCAACGACCTGCAGCACATATGCATCCAAAATGGTTTACTGCAGAACTGAAAAGAAATTTCCCAGGGAGTACTTTTGTGAACATTTTCACACTTAAAAGGCACCAATCGGGTAACCAGGGCCGTCCCGCTAGCTGTATGTAGATTCACACTTACGAACCCATATTTGGTCCAGGCAATGCATTATCTCCGGAGCAATCCTATGGCGGTTACACCGAAAAAGAATCATCGGTGGCGGTACTTGATGAACCAAGGTCATTCGAGATGGGAAATGGACGCATATCGTTCGATATATGTGGTGGCGAGGTTTGTTTGATGCCAGAGCGTCAGTAAATGCGTGGCAGATCATCGCGGTAAGTGCAGGTTTTATATGCCGAGCTCCCAGGAGTGAGAATCACTCCATCAGTCGAACGGTTTAAAGCGGAGGAGACGATGAGGAAGAAAAGGCCGGGAAGAAGGGTTGTGGGAGAAAGCCATGGTAGTCGCTACCACAGTTCACTTTCGTATCTACGCCACACAGAAAGTAGCATACACGGAGGTGGTGTTTTATTACGGGCTATACGAATACAGTGTATGCTAGGAAGTGGTGGCCGGGCGATATTGTCACAACGCCGGGTCGTAGAAATATACACCATCTTAGATTCGGGAAGTTAGACGGCAAATTATCCTTAGCGCAAGGGAAAACTGACACAATAAAAAGCGCATTGAATTCCCTAAGGTGGAAGGTCTACTGTGCGCGCGTGATATCTGTGAACGTAGCCCTCCAGGAAAAGCGAGGACCAGGGTACAACCGTACAACCGTTCTTGAGATGGCCTACTCGTGCTTGTTCATCGGTTGCGCAACGCAGCAAAGGTCTGCGACTTGGAAGTATGAGCAAAGGTTCTGCAGGAAGGGTGATAATCAGGACTCACCGGTCACCAACCGAATCTCGTGGTCCAAGCATACAACGAATCACCCCTGGGGAGAACGTACAGAAGCAAATGACGGGATGTTTCACGTTGCTTTCATAGAGTACCTCGCAGCAAGTCGTTCTATATCCCAGAGGTGAGTTATAGTATACTTTGAAGCAAAAAGGGACTTGACTGAACACGCACCCCACGAATCCTTGCTGTCGAAATGGAGAAAAAGCGAGAGCCAATATTTGTGGACTACCATAGCCCCTCGCTATCCGGAATGTCAAGTGAGCGCAAGAGAGGTTCTGCAATGCGAGCTCAATCATGACTGAGAAAGACATCTGGAGAAGCGTAAGACTCACCACCTAACCCTATTATACCTGTGGGGCTGGGGGCAGCCTCCCCGGAGGCGTGGGAATTTTATCGAGGGGTGGGAAAAAAAAACCTAACTGGGAAGCAGGGGGGGGGGGGGGCTCCATAACCGATCGTTTCCATTTCCTCTCTCTCTCTCTTCCTTACCACCACCATCTCTAGAATTAGGGAGGGAGACCTAAAAAAAAAAAAAACCTAAGTCCTCGAAATTTTTTTTGAAGACTAAGGAGGAAGGACACCCTTCTTTATCTTTCTAACAACCCTAATACCCATCTGCCCCCCCCTGACCGACTGTTTCACCCCCCCCCCCAACTCTTTGCCTTTGTTTTTTCTGCCACCATAAAATTCTCTTGAAGCCATGCCTGAAGTGTGAGTCTGATCTTTTCTTTTTGGGAGAACCTGGACTGTTCCTCCTTCTCCCCCCTTCTTTCTCTCTCTCTCTCTCTCTTTCTTCCTCCCCCCCCCCAATCGATCATTCGATTAGGGGGGGGGATCCATTCAACTATCATTGTTATTTATCTTTTAGCACTCTTTGAAATCAAAGCACATACTTATTTTTTTTTGTTTCTTCCCCTCCCCCCTTCTCCTCTCTCTCTCTTTGTTTTTAAAAAAGGCCTCAAGAAGATGTGGGCATGGACGTCTGTCTGGACTGCGAATACGAGGCCAGCAATGAGAAAAAGATGGAAAGCCATGTTTTAGCACGACATCACTTTAAATACCGCTGTATCATTGGTGAGTAGTCTCATTTACATGTGCCCTTTTTCTCTTCCTCCTTTTCAGAGAGAGACAATGCTGACTAGTGCTCTACCCCTGTCACTTTTCACTTCCTCCCCCCCTCCCCCCCCTCCTCCTATCCCATATTCCTCTCATGCAGATGTAGCACCCTTTGGTTGTGGTCTCAGATCCAACTCTGAACATTGTCTTCTGAGGCCAGATCGTTCAGGGGGACTTGAATGCCTTGTTCCCACTTGTAAGCATGAGACATTGACTTATATGCAACTAGAGAAGCACATGCGAAAGGCCCACTCATTCAGGAGGTTCCTGTTGGAGCCAATTACGGATGATCCGGATGAGCAACCACCTTTGGACTCTCCATCAAGCCTTGTAGAAAAAGAGAAGGAGCCTTTGCATGTTGTGGTGAGTGCTGCCTCTTTGTTTCTCCTCAATTTCATCAGATGAATAAACTAAGAGTGTGCTCTTTGCTGCCCCCCCCTCATCATAGCATCGCTCTCCTCTTCCTTCAGCAAGAAAATCATTGAGCCAGCATCATCCTTATGCTCCCTCTCGTGGGAAACGAGTGACGCTGTCCTTGCGAAAGACCACATCCACATCATCTGCACTCTCCAATAGCAAAAGTGGTCTCTTACCATCTCTAGTCTCCGTTGAGTGTCCTGTTCATTTCTCTCTCTCTCTCTCTCTCTCTCTCTTTTTTCTTCCATGCCTGGGCATTCTCACTCTCTGTGCTACTGCCTTTCCGGCTTCCTTTCTTCCCTCTCCTCAAATGAAGTGCATCACCTTCTAACTTGTGTTTTCTTTTCTACAGTCCATATCATCACTTTCACCAAAAAAAGCATCTGTGAGATTTCATCCCTACCACCACCCTGAGGCAAAGAGTCCCTCTCCTGTTTCTCTGCCACTGTGCATCACTCCCACAGAAAATGATCACATGATGACTGAGGCCGATGATGAGCCCTCAGCATTGGGTGCTATCACTGCTCCACCTGTTTCTACTGTTTCTTCCCTGCCTCTGCCTGCCACTTCTGCTGAAGCGGATGTCACCCCTCTTGATGAGGCAGATGATCCAGTTCCTGCACTCAATGATGTTGATGTTGCTCCATCTGTGTCCACTCCACCTGTGTTTATACCAGAGGATATTCCTGTCCCATCGTTGGATCCTGAGATCTGGCATCTCAAGTCGTCTCCTATTTTGGATAAATGCGGTCTCCGTTTCCACCCCTTTTATCGCACTGTTCATTGCATGAATAGTGCATGCCAGATAGCTTTGGTTCCCACAATGGTCATCACTCATCTGCGAGACCAGCACAGCATAACTCTTTCCCCTGCTGAAAAGAAGGACCTCTTCCATACTATGACAGATTTCCATGCATTGACAGAGTGTTCTGCACTGGTGACCCCTCCTCCTTGCCTGGCACCAGTGGAGGGCCTACGCAAGGTCCAAAATGGCTACTGCTGCAAAATGTGTGACTATGCTGTTCCTAAGTTCACCACCTTCAAACGTCACTGGAGCAGGGAGCACAAAACGGAAGCTCACAACCTGTTTGCTAATGAGGGGTGTACAACAGGGACTATCCAGCACTTCTTCACTGTTCCAGAGCGCTGGTTTCAGGTCGATGAGTCACTGGAATCTTCTGTGGGTGAAGAACCTTTCACTGTCTTCTTAAGGGACATTGCACCCACTTTGGCAGCCGAGTCTGAAAATGTTTTGATGGAACCAGTGAGTGCACAGGAGGTTCCTCCTCTCCTGAAGATCACGTCGTGGCATATGCATCTTGCAGACCACATCTCCGACCGCAAAAAGGTCAAGTCACTATTGCACCTTACCACCCTGCCAAAGATTGCAGAAGATTCATCTCTTGCACGTACTCAGGACACTGTCCAGCAGTACATGGAAATTATTCGTGATTTGACCAATGGCAGTGGTCTAGGGGTCTGTTGTCTGCTCATGGACTGTCAACGGTATGTACCCCTTCTTTTAGGATGGCTTGGCTTGGGATTCACTGACAGATGGTTTTTGTTTAACGTTCAGCGCTGAACAGAACGGAAAGATCTTCTCAGCACAGAATGAACCGAGCACCCTCAAGGCCTATGGCACTCTCCTCTTCCACTTTGTTTATGCTATGCTTGCCTCTCTTAAGACCCCTGAGGATTGCTACAAGTTTCCTCTCACTGCCTCAGACAAAGCTCATGCGGATGGGCTCATTGCCGCAGTGGAGACAGGCACTGGGATGGAAGCTGTCCAGTCATTGCACAAGTTCCTGCTGCCCCTCCTTTCCCCTCGTGTCTCACCTGGAAGACATGACAAGTGGCAGCTTGTAATGGAATGCTTTGTCGCAGTCTTTTGCGTGCGTCCTGATGGGCTCTTTGAAAAGCCTGAAAACACAATGCAGACCTTTGCAAAGATAAAGTACTTGGTTAGGGGAACCTGCCTCTATGAGGCAGTACAGATTGCGGGCCAATTTAATGACGATGCATACAGGTCTGTTACATGCTTTTTTATTATTATTAAGATATGCTCTCCTTTCTGACTTGTTTTTGCCTTAACTCCTCAACAGGGCCACAGAGTATCAGGCAGGTATCATGCTCCGTGTTGCAGCCTCACTGAGTCCTTACAACATGGCTGTTGACTATCAGCGCATCGCATCACATCTTGCATACAGCCAGTCATCTGCTCCAGCCACCCGTGTGTCAGATGATGGGCTCACAATCTTCTACCGTGCACATAATCTCTACATTCCAACCTGGCGTGCAGGACTCCGCCAGATTCTCGACGAGTTGAAAGCTGAGCTGGATTCCCTCATAGGTGATGCAGATGCTATGTTGAACATCCCGGACAAAATTCCGGATGACTGGGTGAATGAGACTAGGGGGTACTCCTGGATGAAGAACACGGACTTTGGTGTGCACGAGCATGCCTTGTTGAGAGCCCTTATGCAGGATGAGAGCTCTTCCTTTGGTAAGGTTGATCGAAATGGGAAGCTCATTCAAGACATTGCAGAGTACCGCAAGGTCCTGGACCGGATTAGCCACATCACCTGGCTGCTTGCAGTCCTATGCTACACCCTTCCTGGGCAGGTCAGTAGGGCCAGTGAGTTTGTTGAGCACAAGATTTTGAACTCCACACGGCCTAGGACAGTCTTTCGTGATGGAAAGGCCATCTGGCTCGTTATCCGTCGTGCTAAGCATGAAAACAATATCAGAAAACCTGTCTTTTGTCCAAGCAAGGTTCCCCCAGAGCTGTGCACTCAGCTTGAGCGGTTTCTCATTTTTGTTCGTCCCCTCCAGAGGGTGCTTGGAGCTGCAGTTTTTGGTCCCAAGTGCATTCATCTGTACGATGAGTATCTTTGGGTATCAAAAGGCAAACGCATCACATCAGAACAGTTCCGTGACCAGTTTCCTAAACTGTTGCTCAAGTACTGCCATGCCCCTATCGGTGTTCATGATTACAGGCAGTTTGTGGTGCAGATCTCACGGACCTATCTTGGCTCTGAGATTGAGATGGATGATGAGATGGAGACTGATAGCTATGCTGCCCAGCGTGGGCACTCTGTGCAGACTGCACGCAGAATATATGCCCCAGAGCTTGGCCGTCTTCCCTCAATCTCCAGTGAAGCACTTCTCCGGTTCTCTTCAGCATCCAGGGACTGGTGGACTGTCACAGGCTTCATGCCAGGTATACCTCCCAAGCTCCCACTCCTTCATCGCCGCCAACTTTGGGAGGAAAACCAGGCATCTGCCCCTGGACCGGCTGCAGGACCAGCATCCACCTGTGCTGAAGGAGCTCAGATCCCCTTTGATGCTGTGAAGCTTGTAGAGCAGCTGACGGCAACATTAGTGGACCAGATCACCCGAGCTGAGGTACGGATGGAGGAGAGGATCAAGAGCATTGTTGGTGAGGGCATTGCTAATGCAATGGTCCGGTTTGGCATGGGAGATGGTGGTGAGCAGCAGTTTACAGCACCTGTGCATGCTCCATCACCTGCATGCCCATACTCCCCTATTCCGGTAGTGCAAGCTGAGGGGAATGTGGAGGCTGAAGCTGCAGCTCCTTCATCATATCAGGAGCAGGCAATCACACCTTTTGTAGTTGATGTTGACATGGGAGACTTCTATGTGAACCCTGGGGATGCCGACTACGTGGATCCTAACTTGCCGGCAGAACCAAAAGCAGCAGAAGGACATCCTGACAAAGAGCATGACAACGATGACGATCTTTATGATGATGAGGAGGCAAGCATAAAACAGATTCTCGAGTATGATGTCCTTGAGACGCTCAAGAAGATGTATCCTAATGATGCCTCTCCCTCCTTCAAATCTGATGCACAGAAAGAGGTTGTCATGCTCTCTGCTAGGAGGAACCAGAACTTTATTGCTATCTTGCTGTTAGCCACTAACTTTAATCGACTTAGATCGTACTAAGGTCGCTACTCGCACTTCGGTAGGCAACACTCAGCAAGTCAAAGGCGACGCGAGTCAATGGGACAGATAGTCACGAAACGGGGAGCTCTGAGTTAGGTAGATTAAACCTTAGCCGAAGCTGGGGTTTAGACCAGCTGAGGCTCTACTTAAATACACGTTGCGTAGGCTAAAGATAGTGCCGCAGCAGCGTCCGATCGAAATCGCAGCATAGGGTAAGCGTGAATACGTAAGAAAAGAAAAAGAGAAAGAAAAGGAGAGAAAAGAAAAGAATAACCGTAACATTACCCCCTTCTTAAGACTCATTCGTCCCGAATGAGAATATGTCTCCTTCCTTCCACACAAGCGAATTGAGGGGCTCCCTTCTGCTTTAAAACAGGATTGATTGGACCTCCGCTACCCCATAAAGAGTCGCAACGGTGGGTTCGGCCTCAGACCCTCTCTCCCCCTGGACTCAGGTCCCAAAACTTCCTGAGCCACCTTGCGCCGGTTAAGCCTCAATTGTCTGTCGGGATCCGCGATCCCTAAGGGTTCAGTGCTCGTGATTGAGCGGTGGAAATCCCCTTCTACACCGTAGAGAGCGGCTGCTTCCTACACCGCGCTCGATTGGAATGAGTCGTTCGACTCCTGGCTTTCCTCCCCGCTTCGTGCTGATTGACTGTAGAAGGACCATGTATCGTCATCATCGTTGTCATCATCTTCTGAGTCGAAGTCCCAGTTTTCGTATACTTTTTGTAGGTTTTCTAGGTCCAGCTTGGAGTCTTTGTCGTCTGTTGATTCCTGTATGATGGGTATTCCTTCCGCTCCCTCGGTGGTAACCTCTCTTACGGCGACTGATGATTGTAAGTCGGAGTGTCTTGGGTTTGTGCACTCGGAAGAGTGAACAGTCTCTATGTCCGTGACGCATGGAGTATCCGGGTCGTGGTATGGCGTTCGAGCCTCCAGGGGTAACTTGTCGTCTCGCCCGACTGTTTTCCCGTACTTGTTGACCTCCCAATGGATCTGTTGGAGACGCGCTTCGTACTCGTTCACGAGCTCCTCTGCGTTCGCCATGTCGGACCGTTTAACCCAGGAGTTCTCCTCTCTTGGGTACCCCTTCCATTTCACTAGATATTCCGTTATCGCGCGACGAGTTCGTCCGCGACCTACCACTTTGTCCCGTTGTTCCACTATCTCTTCGATTTCGTATTCCTCCTCATCATCAATTAATTCTGGGGGTGGACGTTCGGGACGTGGCTGATTTGGAAATGCAGGGGCGACGTAGGGAGTAAGAAGTGATTCATTGAATCGATTGTGAATCTTCCATCGTGCGGGTAGCTTTAACTCGTAGGCGGAGACCCCTTTCTTAGCGATAATGTCGAAAGGACCGATTCGTCGATCTCCGAGTTTTTTGGTGGGTCGCGGCAAGTGAAGGTTGGTTGTGTCGAGCCATACCTTGTCGCCCGGTCGGTATTCGACCGCCGCCCCTTTGTGCTTATCGTAGCTCCTCTTCATTGCGTCCGCCGCTTTTTCCAGAGAGTCCCTTGCTTCTCTTTGGGTTTTTTCCATCTCTTCTACCAGCTTTCCTGCCGCTGGAACTGTCGCTGCCTTTTGAGGTTTCTTAATAACCTCTCCATCTCGTCCGAAGATAACTCGGTACGGGGAGTATCCCGTAGATGAGTGTTGGCGGTTGTTATGGGTAAACGCCGCAAGTGGTAACCAATCGCTCCAGTCATCTTGTCGGTCATTAACGAACATCTTGAGATACTTCTCGATCTCCTGATTGACTCGTTCAGTCTGCCCGTCGGTCTGAGGATGGTAGGCCGTCGATGGATTTCCTTTGACGTGAAGGAGTCGATAAAACTCCTTCATGAATTTGGAAATGAAGACTGCTCCCCTATCGGATATGACTTTTTCGGGCATAACACCGTAGGGCACATAAACATAGTCCCTCAGGATTTTAGCAAAAGCCAGGGACGTGAGTTCCTCGGTGCAAGGAATGGGGATGATGGCCTTTGAGAAACGGTCCACTATGACTAGGATGGAGTCGAATCCTTTCGAGTTCGGAAGTTTGGTGATCATATCGACCGAAATGTGGGTCCACGGTCGTACTGGTACCTCATTTGGGTGCAAAGGGGCCTTCTTTGGGCGACGGTCAGCCTTCGTTCGTTGGCAAACTTCGCAGCCTTTTACATAGGCTTCTACATCCCTTCGCATGCGTGGCCACCAATAGTCGCGAAGTACCAACTCTTTGGTCTTCTCAATTCCCGGGTGTCCAGCTGTTACGTGGTCGTGTTTGAGAGCAATGATTTGCCCTCGGAGGTCTCGGTCCACCGGCACATAAATCCGTCCGTCGTACCATAAAAGGTCCTGCTCGCGGGAGATCCCCTTTTCATGGTTGAGGGAGTCCGAAATGCCTCTGTCCCAGTGGCGGGGATCGTGCGTGGCCGCCTTGATTCTCTCGTGCAAGTCCTCCGTGGTCGGCATTATTAGGGCCCTGAAGTGTTCCGCTTTTAGGACCACCACGTCCCGATTATCCTCCTTCCCTTGGTCGTGATCTGCCCTTCTGGATAGGAGGTCGGCCTTACGGTTTTGAGCCCCGGGCTTATGGTGTAAACTGAACTGGTACTCCGCCAACTCCGTTACCCAACGGGCTTGTCGTCGGTTGAGTTTCTGGGGTTTGCGGAAGTACTGGAGGTTTGAATGATCAGTCCAGATTTCGAAATCCTCTCGGGCCCCCATGAGGTATTGGCGCCATTCTTCGAGTGCAATCATAATTGCGAGGAGCTCTTTGTCGTAGATTTCATAATTGCGTTCTGTGACTGAAAGAGCCTTGGACAGAAACGCGACTGGTCGCCATTTCTCGTCCTGCCATTGTGAAAGCACAGCTCCTATCGCTCCCTCGCTTGAGTCTGCTTCTACCCGGAACCGTCCCTGATCGAGGGGAATGGCCAGTACTACATCTTCACGGAATAACTCCTTGAGTTTCTCAAACGCTTTCAGCTGGGTCTCCCCCCACGTCCACTCCTGCTTTCCGGTAAGCATTGTTAATGGTCGAACGTGCTTGCTATAGTCACGAATGAATCGCCGGTAAAAGTTACAGAACCCGAGGAAGGACTGTAGCTCTTGCTTTCCTCCGAGGAACCGGCCAATCCAAACAGGCCCGCGATCTTAACGGGGATCCATGCGAATTCTTCCCTCGCTGATGATCACCCCCAAATACTCCGTTTCTTCCACCTCGAACTCGCACTTCTCCGCTTTGAGGAATAGGTGATTCTCTCGCAATATCTGGAGGAACTTTTCGTACAATCCTCTTATGCTCCGTCTTGGTTTTGGAGGCAATGAGGATGTCGTCCAGATACACCGATACTTCCCCAGGCTGTGATGAGATCCTTAAAGATGTCGTTCATCATCCACTGGAAGGTAGCCGGGGAAGTTGGTGAGCCCGAAGAACATGACGAGGGGCTCGTAGAGACCGCGATTAGTTCGGAAGGCAGGCCTTCCACTCGTCTCCCTTCTTGATTCCGCACAGTTATTGTACCCCCACCGGACGTCCAGCTTGGTGAAAGTACTTGGCCTTTTTCAGCCGGTCCATGAGCTCCCCGATAAGCGGTAACGGATAACGGTTCTTGATGGTCATCTCATTAAGCTTTCGGTAGTCTTGGACAGGTCGCAACTTCCCATCCTTCTTTTTAACGAAGAAGAAGGGGGAGGCCATTGGGGACTTCGAGGCCTGAATGTGCCCGGTGGCCTAAGTTCTCGTCCAAGAATTTATCCAGCTCCTCTTGTTCCGCCGGATTAAGTGGATAGACCTTGCAGTCAAGGTTGGCGTTAGCGTTAGGATGAGCTCGATGGCGTGGTCCCAGGGTTTACGCGGGGGAAGTTCGTCAAAGTTTTCCTTATCGAAGATATCTTGGAAGTCCCGATATTCCTCGGGCACTATGTCCTCGAATGATTTGACGTCCTTCTTGGCGTTAGCTCGGGCCGCAAGTTCGTTGGCCCTGGTGCCCATGGCCCGTACATGGAAGGCTTCTTCGAAGTCTATCACTAGGATGGTATCCCCTTCTTCATACTCGTCCCATCGCGCTGAAGGGTCGGTGTCGGGAAGAGAGAACGGGATTTTCCTGCAGGTACACCGAGGCCAGGGTGACGGCGCCGGTGTCCCAGTCAATGAGTGGATTATGGCGTTGCAGCCAATCATGCCCGAGGAATAGGGGGGTGGAGCCTAGATCGACTACGGCTAGTTCGATCCGCTCCACGTGGTCTCCTATGCGCAGCCGTACTTCGGCATACTCGGTGATATCCCCTCCTTATTGCGGGTGCCATCGGCATTGTAGACCGGGACGGGTCGGGCCGCCTTTTTTAGGTTGAGGTCATGGGCCTGAGCCCAGGCCCGGTCGATTGAACTCCCGGTAGCGCCACTGTCTACTAGGGCGCTTACCGCATGGATCTCCCTCGTGTCCAGCGTTTCCAATTGTACCTTTATTGACACATTA